AGGAGCGGGCAGGAATGCCCTCGGATCAGCCTCGGGGATCCTTGCTCCGGAAGAACTCGTGTCCGGCCCCCGCTGTGTCGGTAGAAGCCGACGATTTGGGGTTTTTTTTGTTTCTTTCCTTTTTGTTTGTTTGTTTAAATCTACTCGTCTCCGCACGCTCAGCCCCCCTGGCATCTGGGGGGAATAGTTTACTCCTATTTCTCAGGAGAAAGCAAAGTGCTGACATGCCCTCTGGTTTCCCTCGAGAGAGTTACAAAAGTTGAGTTTTTCTGTAAGTCATTGCTTGGCTTATGGCCCTTTCTTTGAGAGGCACTGTTTGATCACCCAGGTGCATCAGTCCCAGTTTCTGGAACAGGGAGGACTCCTGGGGTGGACAGGCCTGGCAGCCCCTTTAGCCAAAGGTGGTGCCTGGTCTGAAAAACAGAGGAAGCCAAAGGCGAATGCAGAAGAGCAATCCAGCTTTGCCACTACAATGACAGTGTATCTACTGATGGAAGAACTTTGTAGTTTAAACCCCCAAGCCCCAGGTCTGGTGCTGATGCAGTGTTAGGAACGTGCATGATCCCACTGGATCCTTCCTCTTCTGCCCCAACAAATGGATCACTGTGCACTAAGATCTGATAGCCTGGAGGGGAAAAGCCGTGTCTCTGTCATCATTAGGATGATAATATTTTCCTATTTTTTGTTACATTAGAGACAATACAGTAAGCTCACTTTGGGTTCACTGTTGGATGTGTGCAGACATTCATGATGGACGACTTTGTGTGAATTAAAGTTTGCAATGAGGCAATTTCTTTCATAATGATAAGCCATTCTGTTCTCTCAATAACACTAAGTATTTAAAGTTACTTTGGTATGCGTTAAAAATGAATAAACACAGACACACCTTGGACCAGACACACCTTGAGGTAAAACTGTCACGAAGAGAGCTTCAGGAGTGAACTAGAGGCTGAAAGAGTAAAGGGATAGACTTGAATCTGGTCAATTAACAGGTACTTTTACTGGTTATGTCTAATCTCAAAGCTGTACCAGATCATGTGTTGGAGAGCAGGACATGAGGAAGCTGCATTTTACTGCATTAAATTAATGCACAGGCTGACTATGTATGTGTCTCCTCATTGTTACTGATTTGCAGTACCATTTCAAATAGATGTAAAAAAATCTGCCATCTCCCTCTCTAATTCATACTCATCAGACTTCTGGCTTTGTAAATGGCAGCACTAACTTCATTAGTGTAGCTTAATTGCTTCCTTAATCAAAACTCATAAGTTAAACTTTGTTACCTGTTTTTGATTTTTTAAAAATAAAACTTCACAGCCACTGAAGATAACAAAATGTGTTGTTTTCAGCTTCACTGTTACTTTTGTTTTGTGCAGACTCTTGCATGTTTCTTTACTTGCCATCCCTGGGACAGCACAAAATGAAGGCTGTTGTAACTTTTGGCATTGTTGGTGTACTCCTTTAAAATTAACTTCCCCTCCGACTGTTTAGGCCATGTGACTTGACTTGGCTCTTCCTGGAGGCAAAGAATGCCTGGGGTGGGGCTGTACTGAAGTTTAAAATGGGGAGGATAGGGTCAGCACACTTCACAGAGGAGTTCTGCTCTTTGGTCCATTCTCTGGCTAATTACAGACACCATCTAAGTGTTCAGAGACTCTCACCAAGCCACCTTTCTCTCATGGCTTTTCCCAAGTTGTACATAATCTGAGCTTCTTCTTTAAATCAGCTTGACTAAAGGAGTAAACATTGATATTTCTGTTTATTTTCTTGCAGCTCTTGTAAGTACTCGCATGACATCATGAATGCAGAGAACAAGAAAGTTCTAAAAAAACACGATTTGTCTGGGCTCAGTGAGAATGAGCTGCAAGTCCTGCTTCTCCAAAATGACCCATTCTTCCTCCCTGATGTAAGTTGTACTGATTTCTTAAGAGAAAGTTCTCGCTCATTAGGAATGGGAGAGGGCAAGAGAGAATGTGGAGTTCTGATCTTCATGTCCAGCTGTTAAGATATGAAATGAGATTAGTCAGAATAAAGGAGGAATGGGAATGACAATGTGAAACAACATAAAGCCAGATCTGTGAAAGGGCTGTGTACTTAAAATAATAAAAAACCCACCCCCTGGGCAGTAAAACTGTTCAATAAGTACCCAGAGTACCCATCTGGAGAAGGCTCTGTCATCTGTGATACGTCAGGAGCAGACCTGCCCTCTGATAGCAGGAGGTGGGCAGCAAGGTTACAGCCTGTCTGGTGTGCCAGTTCTGTTATCCAAACAGGGTGGCCATAAAGCTGCTCAAAACAAACAAAGAAAAATGTCAGCAACTTCACCAGAGGTTTACAGAGGGTGAGATAAGCAAGAGAGAGTTGAAAGATCACAATAATTGTACATGTCTGTAGGGTAAAAGGCATGACCAAAACCCAGTTTGTTGCTTCTTCTCTATGAGATGAAGACTAGGAAGTGAGTGCCCCTTTCCTTTTCCAGTCCATCTAGGCCTGCACAGGCCTGCACACATTTTGGTGCTTGAGGGTGTAAGAGATGAGAAGAATCTGTGAGAAAATGACCAAATGACTGCAGTCAGTTTTGTATCAAATCTGGCTCTTCCAAAGTGCATGGAGTTTTTGTACACTGACTTTCTACAAAGGAATCTTTGCCCAGTTTGTATGCCACTCATTGATTTTGTTAAATTTGATTGAACATTCCATTCTGGTTCAGGATGTGTGTATGAGGGCAATACCGTGGTATGGCTGTTTGAAAGTCAGTCATATCCTCTTCTGGCTACAGCTGCTCCTGGTTAAGAAATTACCAAAGTACTGCCCTTGTCTTTTGCAGGTTATAATCTCCACAGATTTGTTGACACAACAGTTCTATTGTTTCTTTGTACCCTGCTGTGAAAGTGCTAGACTTCGACAAAACAGATTTTTTTTTTTTTATTGTGTAGTGTTTTAAAGTGTTTTACTGGCAGACTGAAGGAGCATGGTAGTAAGCAAGGAAAATACTAGTTGTTCCCAGTAGTGAGCAAATAGTAGCAAATGTTCTTGGTTGGTGTTACCCTTAAGTGCTTACTAGAAATCTGTTCAGCCCTCACCCCTGGCAGGCATCATTAATTACCTGTAATTAAGCACTTTAACTCCTATCATGCAGTAAAATAGCAAAACCAAGAGAAAACTGTGATCAGTGCAGGCCATTCATAAACCTGAGAGTTTGGAGGTTGGATGTAAAAGCCAATTTGGCTGTTTCCTGCTTAGAAATGCTGACTGGTTGTGTGTGTGAAGACATGGCATGTAGGAAGCTCTCAAGAAACAGGACACTTGGGAATTCTCTGACTTGAACTGGGGTTCAGAGTAAGAAAAACACAACAGCATCACAACATCAGGGTTGTTCACACTTTCCCTCACCTCTCTGGCTCTCTTGTTTTGTTTGTTTTGTTTTTTGGTTGGTTTTTGTTTCTTGGCAGGTGCAAGGGGACAGTGTTCTTTCTTGATGTATCTAAATAGTGGATTCCCTATTATCATGGTTTAAGCCCACATAAGTACCATGCAGCCACTTCATCTCTCCCACCCTGGTGGGATGGGGAGGAGAATTGGAAAAGAGGTAAAACTTGTGGGTTGAGATAAGGATACTAAAATAATTGAAATAGAATGTAATATAATAACTGGAATGAGAATGAGAGAGAGAAATTAGTAAAACCCAAGAGATTTCCCAGTACAGTTGCTCCCCACTCACTGACTGATGCCCAACTCCTCATCCCTGAGCAGTGGTTGGTGGCTCCTGGGAAGAGGGATTTGGAGGGGACCTGTGAGAGTCCCAGTGTGATATTGGGGCTCTCTGCCAGACAGCTGTGTGTTCTCCTCAAAGAAGCTTTCTTATTACAGGCTGCTCTGGGAACAAAACTGTTGCTGTGGTTCTTAGTGGTCAATATGAAGGAGCTTTTGGTCTGTGATTAGTTGCCTGGTCTGATTCTCTGTGTACCTCTTTTTCAGTGAATAGAGGAATAAGGAAGTGCATTGCTTTTTCCATATATACTCTAATGTCAAAGCATTCTTCTTATCATTTTGTAAGCTCGAATCTTCAATGCAGGATAAGCTTTACAAATAAGAAGTGCAAATTCAGTTTCAGCTCCATGAAATGATAACTCATTTGACACAGTGTGCATGTTTTTATGGAGATATTTGTTCTTTGTTGTTCATTATGCTGTAGGGGTTTTTAAAATGGAATAACTGTCAACCAGTCTGTCTTGGATCCATTTTTGGCACTTCTAAGCTTGTTGGGTTAGCTTTTCTTGGAAACAAAACATGGACAACTTCAAAACTGAAAAGGCATGAGTCAGCTTAAAATACCTGTTCCTCTGTGCAAGAAATCTGTCTAGATTAAAGAAGTCACAGCAAACACATGACTTTTAATCACCATTTTTCTGCTGTTAAAGCTGCATGCCTGTAGGACAAAGAAAAATTCTAATGTGCTTTTCCATTTCTTATTCTATCCTCTCCACTTTTAGGCCTGCCAGTTATACAACAAAAAGGGTAGTCACTGTATGCAGCAAAACAACTGCAACAAGCTCCATGTTTGTCAACACTTTCTCAAGGGGAAATGTAAATTTCCTCGATGCATAATGTCCCATAACCTCTTGGATAACCATGCCTTGAGAGTGTTGGAAACCGGAGGCATTGATGGAAAGACAGCTTCAAACTTCCAGGATATATGTGATTACAAACATATAGAATTCAACAGGGAACAGAAGAAGGTGTATGGTAAGTTGCAAGAAACAGTGGTCTTAATCATGATGTTGAGTTTGATAGAGGTAGAAACTGTTCTTGCCTTACCTCCCAGCTAAACCCCACAATCCTTTCAATGCTTTCAGTACACAACTACAGAAATGATTATTGGAAAAAGCCAGCATTTACAAGGATAAAAGAACTGAAGACAACTTTGGAAACAGTGCAATGCATGCTGGATGTGCCACCTTCAGGAGGTAATTACCTAGATAATAGTACCAACTCTTTCCTTGTGGAATCAGCTTTTGTATTTCTCTTCTTGCAATATACAGACATTTTTTCCCTCTTTGCTATTACGCACTTGCAAGAATGGAGTAAGTCATGGCACAGTCATGTGGGAGGGAAAACTGCACTTTTATTGCCTGAAGTACTGCATTCAAAACAGCAATTGAGTGGCTGGCAATAACAGTGACTAGCTAGGGTTTGTACCTGTAATTGCACCTCTGTTGTATCAGCAGTGGAGTGCTAGTGGAAAATCACACGTGGGATGGACATAGTTCTCCACAGAGACTGGGATGTTGCCAGCTAGCTGAGCCTGTGGCCCTGCAGTGCTGCTCATTCAGTTTTCTCACACAGATGCCAGCAGCACCGTGCCTGCCCACAGCCAAGACCAGTTGCCAAAGGGAGCGGAAGATAAAGTTCAAGGTATGGATTGTTTCTCACCCTCCAGTCTTGAGACCAGTGGCTTTCGTATTCCACACAGCCTGACAGCTCCCAGTGGTAGTTGAGTGCAGCTTATGTGTGTGCCTTGCTGTGTTCTGAAATCCATGGTGCCAGATGGCCAGTGGAGCAGTTCTGGAATTTCTGCCCAAGCATTGTGCAGCACTCTGTACTGTCCTGGACATGTTTTTTTCCTTCCTAGGAAAGTGAAAGAATTGTATCTGTGCATGCAGTATTTTTCCCTGCCTACTCTTTCTAGGCAATCAATATGGCTTTGTCAGTAGAGGTGTTGTCTTGATATACCTTCCAGAGAGTGAATAGCAATGGTAAATCTCTTGTTCTTCTGGGCAGAAGGACCTTGGCTTTAGAGCTTGTCAGAGTCCAGTACTCTCTGGACAGGTTCTTTTAGATACTCCACACATGGACAGTGTAATGTTTCATATCAAATCACACGTGGGATGGACATAGTTCTCCACAGAGACTGGGATGTTGCCAGCTAGCTGAGCCTGTGGCCCTGCAGTGCTGCTCATTCAGTTTTCTCACACAGGTCCCAGTAGCACCGTGCAAGACCAGTTGCCAAAGGGAGCAGGAGATAAAGATAAAGGTACGGATTGTTTCCAGCTCTCCAGTCTTGAGACCAGTGGTTTTCATTGGGCCTTGATTTCACACAGCCTGACAGCTCCCAGTGGTAGCTGAGTGCAGCTTATGTGTGTGCCTTGCTGTGTGCTGAAATCCATGGTGAAAAACTGAGGCTGTGATGTATATCACTGTTCAGCAGAAGCTGGGGCATGAGTGTGTTAACAGCATTGTTTTGGTCAAAAATCTAAAACAGCATCATATGGCTTGCTATGAAGAAAATTACATCTTATTCTACCCATGCCCAGTTGATGCCCAGTTCTGATGTAGCAAAGTGATGCAAAGTCCACTGTAAACAAAATACAGATGCTGACTTTTAAAACATAGCAATTACAGTGCACAGTTTAATCACAATAATAATGGGCTTCCCATTGCAGATCTGAATAATATACTCACTGCCTCAATATATACTCACTGGGTGTCCCCAGTCCCTGGGGATATAGAAGCCAGCTCAAGCCAGTTGCCCTTTTCAGAATTCTTTGGTTGGTTGTTTAGGTTTAATACCTCTGCGTGGGGCTGAGCTCTGTGCTCACTACACCCATGTTGGTCTGGCTGACTCTGAGAGAAACACTTCTACTCCCAGTCAGTCTGCTCAGCTGTCATTGGCTTTTATGAACCCTCTGGTCCCCTTGGTGTGGAGACAAAGTCAGCTTCTTTGTAAGAACCATGGTCAGTCACACCCTGTGTTGTTCTGAGCTTCCTGACACTGCCCTTGCCCTTCCTCACTGAGACTCCTTCCAGTGTCAGGGTTTATTGTTCAGTCACAAAGCCCTGACTTCTGTGTTGGGCTGTATGGGAGATAGTCAGAGTAAGGACCTATCTTTGCTACTGCAGTCAAATCCTTGTTATTTCTGGGATGAAGTACCAAATGCAGGATCTTTCTCTTAAAGCAAATCTAGACTGTGATGTTCTTTGCTGTAGGTAAAAAGGACAGTTCCTCTGATGAAGCTTCGAAGGACAACAAAGAAGATAACTGTGATGAGATCTGTTTGTTCTATGTCTGGAGGTACTGCAAAAACAAGGGTAAGCTTTATGAGAAGTAATGTTGAAGACTTGTCTGCAGAGAGACTCCTGCTCAATGGTTTGGGCTAGTGGTGACAGTTGTGTCTCCTCAGCAGTTTATTTTCTTTCCAAGTCATTAATAAACACTGTCAGAATTACAAACAGAATCAGAAAAAAAGCCAAATGGTATACTTAAACCCTTTATCCTCTCGATAATCCAGCCTATTTCAGCCCTTTTGATGGGGGCAGGCTTTAGGTGCATTTCTGTGGCAAAGCCCTTTGAGTGTGAAGTGTTACCCTTTCTGTTGCTAGATTTAAGTTATGAGTTGACTTTGTGCTGTCATTATTGACAGCTCATAAATGTATGTCACCCTTTATTCCTACTGTATCTATCCTATGTACATCAGATAATAGCCATCTTCTCCCCCATTAAGTAATTTAAAAAGTGATCTGAGGTGTTAAAACATCTTTAAAAGCCACAGTAGTTGTACCAGCTAAGCTGAAGATAAATCCAGTCCATTGTCTTTTTGGTAGTGTCCAGAACAGAGGTCTGAGGGAAGAATATAAGTAATTGTATTTGGGAGCTGTCCTGAAGAGTCATTTAACCCCCAGGTTTGGCTCTTCCTTTATTGTGAGGAGGTACCATGACATTTTCTTTCCCTGATCTTGTGCAGCCAGTTTCTAAAGGACTGCTACTCCTCTGACCACCTGGTCCTGACAAAACACCCTGTGTGATGTGAGCAGTGTACCTGGTGAAACTGTAAGGTCAGGCTCAAAGCAGCCCTACTGTGCCCACCAGATAACTAAACTCAAGTAGCTGTTGGAGTCTTAGTGTGCTTTATTGCTACATTGGGCTAGAAAGTTATAAGATGTTTGATCCATACTTGGATGTGGAGTGTCAGCCAGAAGAAAACCCTTCAGTTTTGCACAGAAGTGATCACAGAAGTGATGTTTTAGGAGAGGCTGCTAGCAATTTCCTCAGTGTCTGATAGGAAACCAATCAGTGCTTGGCTTTGGGAACTGCCAGCCTGTTAAACCACTGGGAAGCTGCACACGTCTCTGTGAAAAACACATGTTAAAGACAAAAAAACTCAAAAACTTTCTGTTTCCCCTTCCGGCTGGCAAAGAGGTGACATGGTGGGGTGGCCCCTGCCCCAGGTGCCCACTGGGCCCCCGTGGCTACCGGCCAGAGGCTGCTGAAATGCTAACCACTTCCCCCAGCACAGTGGAGCACAGCCTCCCGTGGTCACATAAGCATCTGCAGGCCCCAGGCAAAATGTTAACTCTTCCAATACTTCAATCCTCCCTCGAATGAGAGAATAAGACAGAAGTAGGAACACATAAAGAAACAACATAAGAACATCAACGTCGATGAAGAAGTCAAGTCCCAAATAAGAAAGATGAAGAAATGCCTTTAGTTTTAGGCTAAAATTCTCTTGTAAAACTATAGAAAAGGACTCTTTTCCCCCTTTAACACTTAAAAGTATGAGGAAATGAAAGTGTTCAAATTGTAGATATTGAGCAAAAACCTCCATACTAAAGTAAACAAGTGTTAAAGTAGCTACAATCCTATAAGAAGTTTGAACAGAAGAAGAGATGAGTGATAAAGATCCTATACTCCAAAGAAAGAAAATATCTCTATTCCTAGAGATAATTTCAGAGACAGATATTAAGAACTTTTGCTTTTAAACAACTCATGTTTAAACCAATACCCCACAAGCTGACATGGCCCACAAACACAACTAAGAGAAAAACTTACCAAAAATGAGAAAGATTTAATGATTACAAATTTCCCCAAACAGATGCTATTTGTAGAAATTAAGAGCCGTGAGAGAACTATTTTATTGTTGAGAAGTCTCCATAATATTAAGAAGGACTTCTCTCCCTAAGTAAACTAAAGAAAGACTATTCTAGAAGTAGTAAACTAACTAAAAATTTTAGGTTTTTTCTCTTTACATTATCAATGAGGAAAAAAAAAAAGTTGTAAAGGGAAGAGAAGTGTCCTAAAAATTGTTCTCTGATTCTTACTACTCTTTTAGTCACTATTAATAAATTTTTCTTTATACCCTTTTAAAATTTTGAGCTTATTTTATATTTCTCCTAATTCTCTCTCACAACAAAAAATAAATCAGTACATTCTAGTACGTGCACTAGTAATTAACCAACACTAAACCCACCACACTAATTAGTACATTAATCAAAAAATCTCAAATTAGTGAACCAAAACCACTACAGGTGTCTTTCAAATACATTTGGCTCTGTGTATATATGTATATATATGTTGCTTTTCTTGATAAGACTGCAGAAACACACTCCCCTTCTGTTTTCAGCACTCTTCTTCATTGCTTATACCAAAGCCCAGGAGAGAAAGCCTCAAAGTATAAAAGATGCTGGTTCTATTTTGGTTTTTTCTTGTCTTGCTCTCTGTGTTAATGACTGCAGAATTCTTGACTATGTCTGATTTTGTTACAGATAAATGCAAATCTGTTCATTACCATTTGCCATATAAATGGGAGATATATGACGGGTTGAACTGGAATGCACTTTCCATGATGGAGGAAATTGAAAAGGCCTATTGTGACCCAAAGAACAGCAGGTGTAGTAATGCTGGACTCCTTGCTTGGAGTATTGTGATTGAGCCTGTGTAGGAAAACTTGTGTTTTCTTCCTAAAGATGTCTGACTTCTCAGCTTCTGGTTACTGAACCTCTCAGAAGCTGGGAGGATGTAAAAACAAGAATTTTTCCTTTAGAAAAGCAAAGAAAGAATGATTGCATGAAAATCCCACTCCAGTTTTGTCTTCTAAAAATAACAAAACTGTATCTTGCATGTTAAACTGTACAAAGTAAAAAGCCAGTGTTTAAAATTTTAGTATTTCAGATCACTAATCAGTTTACAGTAATGAAGTTGGGCCTTTTGACAGCATTTCAGAGCTGGTCCTTCTGTATAGCTATTTCTTTCCTACTACAGCTAGTATCTATAATAACAATAATAGTAATCTAACATACCTAGAGACATTTTATGAAATGTCCTTTGTGTAAGCAGCCCATTTTTTTTTTTTTTTTATTTCTATTTGAAGAGTGTGTTTTCCTTTTAGCTCCTTTCTGAAAAGTCCTACTCAAAGCGACCTGGATTCATTGGGCACCCCAAGTTTGGCTTCACAAAATGGTATTCTGGTTTTGGCCCATGCCTCTTAAGGCACCAGCTGATTTTGGTTGGCAGTTTTCTGGAGATCACAAGCAATATTCCCAAGAGGAGGCTGCCATCAAAATCTTCCTGCCTGAGAATTAACTTTTCAAGCCTTGCAGGAGTAAGAGCCCAGGTGGCTCCAGTGATGAATGCAGTTTGCAGAACTCACAGCTGTGGTTGCTGTGATTTATCCTTGGTAACCACAGAAAAAGAACAAAGTTGATAGGCTGCAGGTGATTGCTGGCAAATTCAGTCACACACTTTGCACATTCTGCTTATGTACTGAGAAAGACTGTAACCACGCTTAGTTATCACAGAAGTTCCTTTTGCCACACTGTACTTGGAGCCTGACATTGTAAAGCTGGCAGTGCCACAAGTGACTGAGGTGGCATTTGGTGTCTCACAGGCCAGAGTTCACTTCTGAAGCTTGGAAATGGCTTTCAGAGCTGCCATGTGCTGTGGGAAAGAAATACTCCTATTTCAGATCTAATTGAGTTTGGTTACTTTATATTAAAGAAAACAGCACTAAACTGGGGATGATAGGATAAAATATGCACTGCTAACTACAATAAACCTGAATTTGTCCTTACAGCTTCCCAAGTAAGAACATTAATTTCCAGACAATGACCTGCTCTTCTTCTTTGGTTCGACGTCTCTCTACACCATCATCAGTCACAAAACCCACATTCCTCCTGACCACACAGTGGATTTGGTACTGGAAGAATAACCAAAACGAGTGGATTGAATATGGAGAAGAGGTGAGTTCACATCCTGTGCTTTGAGTCACTTCTGCAGGAATATGGGGAGCCTCTCTGCACCCTTTCCCCTTTTCTCAACAGGATTAATTGAGTCCTTGTGCTTGAATTTTACAGCGTTGGGTAAGGCAGTGAAACTACATCTGTTCATAACAGATGTGATAAAATGCTGACAGGCTGGAGGAAAGAGAGCTCCCTTTTGGAGTAGTCCATGGCTCCTACAGAGATTTAAAATACAGACACGGCTCTTAAGATACTTGGGAAGAAGTTGCCTCTTTTCTAAGCAATGCCCTACTTCCTAGCACATGCAAGGATTGCTCTGCTCTCTCAGATCAAATGCAGTCTTCTTCCATGTATGTCCAAGTCCTCATGAGAACGTAGTCTATCTGAAAAATGCAGGAAAAGAAATACATATAGAATCTCACCTTCCCCCAAGGCAGATGAGTTTATCCCATATGGTTTACAGTGGAGGAGCACAAATGGTAGAACACAAAGGTGATGCAGGGACTTGGAAAAGTACACAGAGAAAGGTTTTGGATAGAGTGCAGTTTAAAAGACTCAGAGTAACCCCAAAGAGTACTCAACCTCAGGGAGTCACCCAGGTCCAGGAGAGATCACAGCTGTCCAGCTGCTCTTTAGCAGGGACAGCTTGCAAGGAGCTCACTCAGGCTTTCCTGGCTGTGGAATAAAGTGGCTGGCTCATAGGTAAATCACAAGCAAAGTAAAATGTAGGAGTGAGACTCCTTACACCTGCAACTTTTTTTTTGTTCCTTGGCAAATTAGTCTTGGAAGAACCACCTGCTATTCATGCATTAATCACATCATCAGCGTTTGTTTCCAAGCTCATATGCACCAATGCTCTCACCATGTCACCCTGTTCCTTTGTGGGTTTTCAGATAGCAGGTTGGAGCTAGAAAAGTTCTTGGCCTAGGCCCTTGCTTCCTTTGGAGCCTGAACCAAACTAGCTCTGGTTTGGTAAGGAGTTGAGTGTACCCATCACAGCTGGTTGCAGCTCAGCCTTGCCCCCTTCCCTGCTGAGGAACTGGGCAGAGAGTGATAAAACTTGTGGGATGAGATAAAGACTAAAAGATAAAGCAAAAGTATACGCACAAGGAAAGCAAAACAAGGCATTCATTCCCCTCTTCCCTTGGACAGGGAGGTGCTCAGCCATCCCAGGAAAGCTGGGCTCCATCACAGGTCACAGTGACTTGGGAAGACAAACTCCATCACTCCAAATGTCTCTCCTTCCTCCTTCCTCCAGCTTTGTGTACAGGAGTGACACCTTACGGTCTGGGATGTCCCTGTGGCCAGTTGGGGCCAGCTCTCCTGGATGTGTATCCTCCCAAGGCCTTGTGCCCCCCAGGCCCAGCACCGGTGGGGGGAGAGGAGCAGAAAAGGCCTTGGCTCTGTGCATGCCTAAACTAAATAATAACTAAAACATCCCTGTGTTATCAGCACTGCTCCAGCACAAATCCAAAACACAGCCACTACCAGCTACTGGGAAGAAATTTAACTCTACCCCAGCCAGAACCAGCACAACTTGTTACAGGAATTTAAAATTTCTAATTATATATTTGTGTTTATGTTACAAATATTCAGTACTCAGCCTCAGGCCACCGTAGTTCTGGGTAGATTCCTTGTCATCCTACACTTGGCCTCTTCTTTCCCTCTACCCCAGCCAGTTATCCAGGATTTAGTCCTGACTGTGATACTTCTCATTCTCTTTATTTCTTTCTCTTCTCCCCACAAAGGAAGAAGGGAACAGCACAACCTCACCATCTTCTGCTGTTATTGAGAATTTGTATCAAGCAGATCCATGTGCCATTGTACCTTTCCAAGCTGGCCAACATCAGTATGAACTCAATTTTAAAGGTAGTAATTTTAAAGGTTCTCATCTACAGCTATGCAATGCTTTATAGACTCTTGCAAAGTCTCCCTGCTTTTAGAGGGTATGAGTTCCTTTCCTGACACCACCAGTTTCACTTACTGGAAGTGAGGTAGTGGTGGCCCAGAGCAAATTCCTCACAAAAGTAACCTTCTCCCCTTGTTCCTTGACACTCTCCAGACTCACATCTGACCAGAAATATAAACGTTCATAGTCTTCACCTAAAGTCATAGTAAACTTTAAGGAAAGTAAGTAACACTGTGGATGGTAAAAAATACAAGTTAGGCATCTTTGTGTTACTGTAGCAATGTTTAAAGAGCGTTGAGTGGCTTGAGGGAGCAAGCAGGATAGGCACAGGTTCAATCATGGAGTTACAGGAAAGACAGGAAGCTTATACAGCCTTTGTGCTACTCCTCAGCAGGTAGAATTGACAGTGAATGTGAGCTTTCATTAAAAAATATGCAAAATATGCAGTTTTCATTAAAGAATAACTGATGAGGACAAGATGACCCTTTCTTGTAGACTTACTCATGACTTTTTTTTTTCCTTCTCTTTTTTCTCCTCAAGAAATGATTCAGACAAACATCAGTTTTAAAACTCGAAGACAAGTTTGCAGGCGACCAAAATTTGTGTCTTCTGAAGATGTGCAGAAGATAAAGACAGGGTAAGTGCTCCTTAGTTTGTTTTTTCATATTTTAGAAGTAATCATAAGGCAAAATGGGTCCCAGTGCTGGCAGTAGCTGTACAAAGAACACAGGTGCTGCTGGAGATTGCCTATCCAGGGGACTGAAAACCAGAAGCTGTATCACAAACTGCTGTCTTGGTGCCTGGGATGCATGTTACTCCAGCCACAGCTGTTACTTAAAAAAACAAGTGCAAGAGGCTGTGATGGTTGAGTGGCAGCATGCAGAGCCCAGCCTACAGACTGAGGCTATTTCCCAGTTTCTTTATGGTTTATTTTGTTCATTTTTAAATAGAGGAATTGGCCAAAGGGGATGCTCCAAATGTGAGTGTTTGGAGCAGTACTAGAATTACTAACGCTTCATTTTCTGTCTGTTTGCAAGCAGCCAAAGGGATTCTTCTATTCCAAATCAGACCTGTCCTAGTCACTGGGATGCATCTGCACTGCCTGACTTTGGATACAAGGTATCTTTTTTGTTTCTGCCCCTTCTTGTAATTCTGATGGATAGGCACAGTTCAGAGCTTAACTGAATCAACTGTAACTGTATGGATGCTAAAAAGGGACAGGAGGAATTTCTTGGGTGGGTGTGCTGAAGGTCTAGATGATCTCCCAAGGGCTCATAAAACAAGTGCCAAATTGCCTTGAACTTCAACTGCATTTTAGGTGTTTATCTACATACCAAAAACTCCCCAAACCAAAAACTCAAAAACTCCAAACAACAAACCCAAAACTCACCAAGTTCAACACAGGAAGAGTAAATTTGGATTGGAGATCCAGGAAAGGAAATCTCTGTATCCTCCAGTACTGTCACATACATCATGGATCTGAGCGCAGACCTTGGCCTCAGGAAATGGCAGAAATAAAGATCTACAACCATAAAATAAAACAAAAACCATTGCAGTGATGTCTTCCACAAAACAAACGCAACCCCTGTCAGCCCAAAGTCTGTGTTGTTATTTGGTCTACCAAGACCAAAATATGTGGGTGTTTTTTAGATTTCTAGGTCCTGCAGTCCTTCTGGAAGAGCAGCACAGTTTGTGGAAGTACTGCAGGACTCTAGAAAAAAAGACTTTTTCATGTTACACGGGCCCTTTGTGTAGTGCTTTTGACCCTGCTTGAGGAGCAGTCTGAGGCTTTCCTTGTTGACTGTGTCACAGAATCTTGTGTGATGCTGACCAGCTTGTGTTGGCACAGCTACCCTGGGGGCTGAGGAACAGCAGTGTGTGGCTGTGTGTCAGTGTCATGGGTGGAGTAAAGCACTTCACTTACAAGAGAGGAGTGCTATGTTGATATAAAATCACCATTTGATAAAATTTGATAGTGAAGGAGACAGTGGTTTAACAAGATTTGATAGCAAAGGACACTTGATTATTTACTGCTTACACAGGGTCAGACAAAACTGCTAGAGAGTCCCTCCTGTTGAGTCATGACTTCCATAAAGAAAAGATTAAATAATAATGAGAGTGTGTGGGAATCTGGCAGGCAGCCCCTTTGAAGATTTGCCTGTGATATTTGGAGCCCAGTGGAAGTAACACAGGAATATGGTCTTCCCTTGGCTTATCAGCATCTTAACTAGCAAGCATAAAATTTTCCAAAGAATGCCAGAAAGACAGGTAGCTCTGTTCTCTTCAGGTCTCTTGAGCTGTGTGTACTTAATTGCTTCCCGTACTTGCTCTGAAAACTTGTCTGAATTTTAGTTGAGTGCATTTGTTGGGGTGTTTCTGGAGTCACTGGGGTGAATGTAGGAAGCTTTGGAACACATAATATCTTTTGGTTGTACATGTGGGGATGTGTGAGTAGAAGGAGCTCAGTTTGCTTGCTCAGTTGGCACCTAAGAAAATATCTCTTTAACTTGTGAGTGCCTTTCACAGGAAAGGAAATGTGACAGTGCCTGTTGGCACTAAAAGTGAAAGCCTGGGCTAGATTAAATCTTTCTGTGGGACCCTAAGCTTGTTTTTTTTGCAGTAGGTAATATTGGGAGTGGCTGGGATTCTGCATGCTTGTGGTGACCATTGTAAGAGCTGACAGCTACAACTCGATGAACTGCCTTCTCTTCAGACACTGACAAATAATCCTGGCAGAATCTGCTGTGCTGGAAGTGATCTGTTTTAAAAAGGAACCTGTGAGATAGGCAGAAAGTTATCTTGGCTTAAAATGCGATGCTGTGTTTTGGTAACATTGCTTATTTTTTGAGTATTGCCATGTCTTAATCTGTAAGTCATTGAGAACAGTTCTGTAGAAAGAAGTGTATAAAATGCACAATGGAAATTGGTAACACTGATTGGAAAGTTGGTGTGAATTTCTCCTGTCTTTGTTTTCACAAAGTGGAATTAGTCGTTTTTAAATGCTTTAAAGGAAAAAAAAAAAAAAGAATTTATTATATCGTGAAACTTCTTGCTGGGTTTAAAATTGTCTCTTTAATGTACAGCTGAGAAAAGTGTGCACTGGATGTGTGGTTTCCTGTCAGTTTTTGTGTGGTTGATGTGCTGCTGAATCCTGGCCACAGGCAGGCCAAGGACTGCTGCACTGTACCAGGCACAGGATGCAATGTGAAGAGTGTGTGTGCATTTTACAGATGTCAGTTCTGGTGGGGTCACTGCCACCAGCACCAGCCCTGCTCCTTCCAACACCCCCGTGAAGCAGAGCTCAGGGTGTGAGTCACAGAGTTCTGCTCTTGTGCAGTCATACACTGGTGGGAATTGCAGCCAGAGCAGTGATTCCTTCTCTGCCTTGGGAACTCTGCTCCTTGATAACAGGGTAGCAAATGCTCACACTCAGTGGGATTTCCTTTTCAGGCCTGAAGGTGAAAAATGCTGAAGAAGTTGTGTAGTTATGCCATATCAGCCTTCAACAGCAGTGTGATGCTGTGATCCTTTATTAGCACTAGAAGCATCCTTGGGGAAATAAGGACAAACACACAAGTTCCCATGGAAAGGAGAACAGTTTGTTGTCAGGTCATCATATGATAAAATAATGCAAGTACCTTTCTTACAGGTTTAAGCCATGTGTAACATGGCTGACCCTCTGTTTTACCTAGAAAGGTTTCAGTTCCTCAGGAGGAGATCATAGAATCACAGAATAGGCTGAGTTGGAAGGGACCCACTGGGATCATCGAGTCCAACACCTGCACAGGACACCCCAAGAATCACACCATGAGCCTGAAGGATGCAGCAGAGCAAAAGTACATTTGTAGTTTAAGTGGAAATTGTTCATGTATAAATAAATTTGCAGATGACACACCTGAAGGATAGGGCCATCCGAAGGGATGTGGACAAACTCAAGAGGTGGCCCATGGGAATCCCATGAAGTTCAACAAGTACCGGTGCTGCACCTGGGCCAGGACAACCCTTGGGGTCAATTCAGGCTGGGGATAAGCAGATGGAGCAGCCTTGGGAGAAGGACTTGGGGGTGCTGGTGGTTAGAGATGGACATGCCCTGCCCCTGAACCCCCCTTGTGCTGAGCTGATAATTTACAAGGGCCTGGAGTGACAAGACAAGGGAGGATGGCTTCAGATTGATAGAGAGTAAGTTTAGACTGGGTATTAGGAAGAAATTCTTCCCTGTGAGGCTGGTGAGGCCCTGGCACAGGGTGCCCAGAGAACGTGGATGTGCCACCAGTGGAAGTGCCAGATTGAACGGGGCTTGGAGCAACCTGGGATAGTGGAAGGGGTCCCTGCCCGTGGCAGGGGGATGGGATTGGATGGGCTTTAAGGTCCCTTCCAACCCAACCAATCTGTGATTCTAAATAAATATATGAAATACAGTGACATGATCTTCATCCTGTAGGTGATGGTGAGCAACTTGGGCTGTGGTGCCACAGACTGCAGACAATCAATACTTGCACATCCTGATTGTTTTATGTGCTGTGCTGTAAAGCTTTGGAAAATGCTTCTGTATTGAGACATGGGAAATTTTACTCAATTTTTTAAAGGCTTTTAAATAAATTCAAAGAAATAGTTCTTTCTTGTGCAGCTGACTTTATTCTTAATCTTCAGAACGCTTCCCTGTGAGCGATCTTCTCATTAGTAAGTGCTTAAATGTACCTGTGAAACACAAGTTCTATCCTACTTTATTTTCTTTCTAAGCTCAGCCTTCTAAAACATGGAGTTTTTGGCTGGTAGGGTAAGATGTTAGTTTCCTTGTTACCTTTTAGGATGGCCACAGCTTTCCTGCTTGAAACACTTTGGAACGTGGGCTGTTGGGATCTCACTTTGTAATCTTAAATTCCTGCTTGGCTTAAGTTGTGGTGAAGTGGAAAGTATTACCAGGTGACATGAGCCTGCCAGCATCACACTTTTGCAGTTTATGGAGATAAATGTTGATTCTAGAAGGTAAAATACATGAATTACTTTGGAGAAAAAAATGGAAAATTCATGCATGACATAAACAAGCAGAAGAGCCCGAGTAATGTTTTAATTATGTTTTGCATTAAATTCTCTTTGGGAAAAATGAGCATTTCTTAATGGATTTTTAAACACAAAATGTATGGATAAATAAATAAAAGTATAATGGCTAAATAAACTTTGTTTCCTTTGGGAAAGGAGATGTATTTTTTTAAGCAGATATTTGGTGTCACATTTGTTTAGAAATGTAGGGGGTTTTTTTTGAAGTCCGTATTTAAGTAATGCTTTCTATGTTCTAACTTTGAAAAGGTAAGGCACCACAATGCCAGGAGGGTATTTATGTTTTGTTTGTTTAATCTTTAATAGCTGAAGCTCCCATAAATGTCTAATTACAAATGATACTGTTATCTAAGATCTTTTTTTCTTAATCAGCTTTAGATATAAAACTGACTGGAATAATCTGTCAAATTTTTTTTTTTCCAATTTCTGTTCCATTGAGATTTAAAGTTGCAGGTGTCAACTCTTGGAGATGATAAACCTTTCGACATCTTTCCTGAAGAGAGGTGAGGTGTCCTTGCAAAGCTGGAGTGACAGACTGATTTACTTGGTGGTATTTGGTTATTAACAGTCATGATCTGAAGCATTTAATTACCCTTCATAAGCATAGTTTGGGGACCCTTCTGAAAGTGTTTCTGCTGGAATTAGGCTTCCGTGTGTTCCAAACTCACTGCAGCCTCATGCCTTTTTTTGCTTTGGTTTGTATTTTATAGGCGGTGGTGATCAGCAGCACAACCTCTGAATACAATGAAATAAAGCAGCTGTTTCATCAGACTATGAAAAATTACAGCATCCTTAAAATACAGAGGATTCAGAATCCATCCCTCTGGAAGGTGTTTCAGTGGTTAGTACTTGTTTCCCTGTCCTTATGAGGAGGCAGTCTCCAAGAACAGGTTGTCCTGTATGTGCTTTCTAGGAAAGAAAGGAGGTTGCCACCTGTGCCTTAACGTGACTGGTATTTTGTTATTAGCAATTTCAGGGGTGAGATTGGTGTGTGAGGCATTCCACAGATTGCCATGCTCTGTGGGGAGGTTCCCTTTGCATGGCTCCTTGGAAGAGGGGGAGAGGAGCATGGAGAGAAAGACACACATGATGCAGAACTGGGCTGAGGATACCTACAGGGATGTGGAACAGTGATTGTCGATGGAGCAATAGCTAGCTGCCTGCTGCACACGTGCTCTGTCTGTTACAAATCTTTATCCATTAGAGTATATGAAATGCTAAAGAGAGTAAAGGCTGCTTGGGCCTTTTTGTTCCAGTCAGGTTTATTTAAGGTGCCTTTGCTGAACAAAGTCAGTATTCACTGAGAAAGAATCCTTGTGTTTTAACTTGATGATCTCTGAGTTCCAGAGGTCCTTTCTGGTTTTCAACATCTGCATCAGTGATACTGAACACTGGGTGCTTAGGCCAAGCTGGATACCAGCAGATTAGAGCTGGGGTTCAACCGTGTTCAGGCTAGTTTGATGTAGGATTAAGCTGTTGCTTAGAACAGTTGTAGTTTAAAACAAGAGTAAGCATTCAAGGACGGTATGGAATGGTCATGGAGTAGAAAAATACGGCTCAAATAAATGCTTTCACCTGCAAAATGATGGAACCTAGAAAGTTATCAGCTACTAATTCATAAAACCTTTTTATCTAGCAAAACATAAGAGACTTCAAAACATGTAATACTGCATATTTTTTATCCTCCTCCAATGAAGTAATTAAGCTAAGCAGGCAGAGTTTAACATTGCCAAGTCCAGAGGATGATGGAGTAATTTGGGTTGGAAAAGACCTTAAAGCTCATCCAATCTGCCATGAACAGGGACATCTTCCACTGTGCCAGGTTGCTCCAAGCCCTGTCCAACCTGGCCTGGAACACTTTGAGGGATGGGGCAGCCACAGCTTCTCTGGGCGCCCTGTGCCAGGGCCTGACCACCCTCGCAGTAAGTTCTCAGTGAACAAGTATTCAGTCCATTGCTCTTAACTTTCCATTTACTAATTTACAAGTTGGAAGGATTCTCCCTTCCCCCCGGCTTAATTTGTGGCTGATGACTCTCTGGAGAATATTACTGCCTTGTCCTCTTCAGCAGCTTCTGAAAAACTGAGAGGTGTCTGGATGCTGTGGAATAATGATGGGAAATATGAGTTGAGCCTTTTGTTGTGATTTCTGTTTTGACCCTGTTCACAGATCAGTCTGTGACCCTGGACTCAACCAGTGGGGTGAGCAGTGGGCAAAGCAGGCTGGGTTTGTGTCCTGGCCCCATCTCCCCAGCAGCACTGACCTCTCAGGGGCAGGAGCTGGGGCTGTGGCACAGAGCACAAGCTGCCTCCAGCTTTGAGCCACTGTGGAAGCACAGAGCCCCTGAGGTTACTGGTGCCTCCGCTCCATTGAGAGCTTGAGTGGGAAGGCACTTTACAGCACAACCAGGAGGGCCCTACAGAGGAGCCACAGGTTGGCACAGTGGTGACTGGAATAGTGCCAAATGCCTAAATTCCCTGAGTAAAGCCAGAATTATCTAGAATTGCTGAGCAGTGGTGTCAGTACTGTGCTCATCTCGTACTTGGTCATCATGCTGCTATTGTGTCTCATCTGAGGCGAGAGCAGGCTGGAAACCTCATCCAGCTGACATTTTCATGGATGTTACACAGTTGTTCGAATTGTTTTAAAAAACACTTTTTTCCCTTTTCTTCCATTGCTCACATTCTCCTCCCCTTAATTTCTGTCAGGCAAAAAGAGAAGATGAAAAGGGAGAATGGAGGAAAGGAAGTTCAGGAAAAACGCCTGTTCCATGGAACTGATGTCACCTCCATGGAAACGATCTGCAGTCAGAACTTTGACTGGAGAATTTGTGGAAGCAATGGAACTAACTATGGGAAGGGTATGTAGAAAGTGAGATGTCTGCTGAGACTCCCCTGCTAGTGGAGCAGTCAGAGGTTCTGAAGTCTTTAACTACAGAAGGACAAAAAAGATAAGAATTGGTATTATGATCCTTCTGAAGAGGGCCAAGATTTGCTTTGGGTTGGTGTCAAAAGTATTAGTGATTTGGGATTTGCTGTAGGTGGCATTTTCTGATGTCTGAGGTCGTAATTTGAACTTACAGTTCAAAATTCAGTTCAAAAAATCAGTTTGTATGGCAGGGAGCAGAGGGGCATGTATGCCCTCAGTGTGATCATGGAAGGTCCTCATGTTTTCTTGTCTGTCCCTCTCATCTCAGCACACAGTCCTGTAGTGTGCTTATTGGTATAGCTTAAAAAAATTACTCCTGAAATAGCAAATAGTGAATGGAAATTATATAGTGCAGTCCCCTCTCTTGCAAAAATTTTGGTGGTATTTTGTAAACTGGGTAAGAGAAGTCCCTGAAGGTTGAGTCAGATACCTCCTAAAAACCCAGAGGATGCTCAGGTTTTGCTGTCATTGTATAGATTCTCCTCACAAGCACGTTTCCATTTTGTTTCTAGGAAGTTACTTTTCTAGAGATGCTCGCTATTCCCATGCCTACTGTCAGGCTAGGCTGCAGGATCACTTCATGTTCGTGGCTCGTGTTCTGGTTGGAGACTACGTTAAAGGCAACCCTGCCTATGTCCGGCCCCCAGTGAAGTGTGCTGACAAGCTGTGGTTATATGACAGCTGTGTGGATGATGAGTTAAATCCTTCTGTTTTTGTTGTCTTTGAAAAACACCAGATTTATCCAGAGTACATAATAGAGTATAAAGAGGAGAGAATAAGAGAGCAGATAGTGGCGGGAATAAGAGAGCAGAAAGAGACAGGAATAAGAGTGTCTAGAGAGGAGGGGAAAAAATGTGTTATATCTTAGAGGAACGTGGCAGTTTGTGTCCCTCATCTTGTTTTTTGGATTGCAGGTGTTCTACTACTTGGTGACTTCTTTCTTTTTAATGCAGTTCTTCAGAATGTTTATACAATTTTTGCATTGAGTAGGGCTGGCAAAGTGGATGTTGCATTTGTTGTGAGTGCCTTATCTTCTTCTCTTCCTCTCTTAAATGAAGAACAGACATTTTGATAACTATAGCAGAAAAATGAGAATTGTGGGATGGGAAATTGAATGTTATGACTCTGGGCAGATAATTGCAAATGCATTGTCTAAAAAAATAGAGAGGACTTTTCTTTGCAAACAGTTAGAAGAAAAATTAACAGTACATTAGTTTTAAAGGAAGCTTTCAGGTTTTTAGTAGCCAGAGATTCTTTTCAGTGCAGAATTAATCTGTTCTTGATCCTCTCATCTATCATTATTATAAACAACTCACTGTAGGTAATAATGACTTGACTTTGCTTTCAAAGCACTGCTTTTTAATGCTGGTACATGTTTTGAGTTAAAATGATAAACAAAAAAAGAAAAAGCATATTTTAAATCCATGTTGTTAGTTCTCGAGAATTTTCATCTGTACAATGGCAGATGGATCAGAAAGCTGTTGGATCAGATTCTTTGTGGAAACGAGCAGCAACTTGCTGTAACCTATACAAAAGCAGAGCTCAACTGAAACTGTGAAAGCCACCACATGTGAGTAAGCAGATACCAAAATTTGATGGTTTGGCTGCAACTAATGGCCGTAAGGACACAAAGGCTGTGTCCCAATGAGCCAGGCTTTCCAGTGGGTATGGCCACGTAGCACAATAGGACAGGAGAAAATTCTTAAGGATCACAGAGATGTTCTGTCCTGCTTGTGCAATTATTTTCGTTTTTCCAGAGTAGAATGGGACCAGAAGAGACGAGTTAGGTTCTCTTGAGGCCAGTGGTAGAACTGCTGTCCTGAGGCACCATCCGCGTGTTCTACTGCCCACTTGTGTGGGGCAGGGTGCTGACAAGTGGGGATCCTCTTTTTGTTTTGGGGGTGATCCTGGGCAAGAAACCTCTGCAATTTCTACTGGATGTTAGCATGGAGTCTTTAAGTGGATCAAACTGAAAGCCCTCTGTACAAATTGCCATATTCAGGCAGTTTAGCTGTTCAGAGGGAAACTGGGAGTGAAGACAGAGGAGCAGTAATTTTTACCTTCAGATAAGCTTTACAGAAACACCAATAGCCTCTAAGGTTTTTGCATCTATGATAGAAATCTGTCAACTCCTCAAAGATATCAAGTTCTTCCCAAGAGGAACAGAAAAAATAAATCCAGAAAATCTTACTAAAATGACCTAGAACTAAATAAAAACATGCGGAAAAAATTTTAACATTTTTAAGATCTCTCTTTCTCTTGTTTGCCTGTAGAATTCCTGAATTACTGAAATAAAACCTGCTTTCAGGCACTTTCAGTGTGCAGTTTGTCTTTACATAAACATGGCAAGACTAAATATGCTGAGTGAACCAGCCCCTGCCTGCATTGCCTGTCTTCCTTTGGTGTTTCTACACCAGGGAACTGCACACGTGGACTGCCATTGTAGGGTAGGTGTTCAGCTAATTACTAAGGGGAGAATATTTCTGTAAATTAACTTCCTAACTAGGAGATGTTTAGTATTAAAGTGGTGGGGTAGTTTGGTTAGATTTCACGTAATTAAACAGCTGCTCTGAGCAGTTAATGAAGTCCTAAGAAAAGGTGAAAGAATTAAGTGAGGTGGTGGCAGAATTGTTGGTTTTAAATCTCAAAGTAGTGAGATACTGAGAGGTTCTAAGGAAGTACCTCTTTAATATGCAGATGAGCAACTTTTAAAGAATCTGAGTCAGGCACCTGTAGAAACCCCCACGCCTGGCAGGCACAAGGCAGGCCTGTTTGGGGAGAGTGCCAGTGAGATGCTGACAGCTTAGGATCAGTTCAGATCACCACACACAGAGTGAGGACACAGCAGTACAGGAACTGCAGAGCTGTTCCAGGGTCCAACCCACCCTGCAGCAGGGATGCAGCTCCCTGGTGCACAAGGCTCTGGCTTTTCCATCACAGGGCTGGATTGGGGGTGGGAGCTGCAGTCTGGATAACTGAGCTGAAGGGGAGGAAAGCTGGAAAAGGCATAATCTGAATGCAGGAAGATGAGAAAGAAACAACTGTTCTTCCATCTCGTGGCACCTCAGCCTCTTCCTAAGTGGCACCAAGGAAAACCCCTGGGAGGCTGTGCCACGCTTGGGCTGGGACCTGTGTGAGCACAGATACTGCTGCTGGATGCTGCTGGCCACTGCAACGGAAACAAAGTGGGTGCACACTGCTACACATCTGTGAAATTAGGCTGAATAACACATCTAAAAGCTTCACACATGCAAAGAAGTCATGTACTTGCTTGCTTAACAAAGATCATCTTTGAATTTATTAAGGCAAAGCAGACAAAATTCACAATCATGTTCTATCAAAAGTAGAGCTGTCATTGATTACACCCTGCATAGCCAGCCAGAGCTTTCTCAGGCTTTTGTTCCCTTATACAATTTGTTACATTCCTCAAGTAAAAAGTTACCTTTAGCAATGTCTAAAGTCATTGTTTTTGGTGCACTTATTAAAAATAGTAGTAAAAATCCAGTGTAACATGTCCCAAGTGACTCACCCCCCACCATGGCTGAAGAGACAAGCTATCTGCTGAAGAACAGCACATTCATAAATCAGGCAAGGAATGCTTACATGGTTTTATTATTCTTCCTTTAAAAATAAGCTATTTCTGCATCAGGGGAGGATTGGGTAAAGCAAAATGTCAGCAAAGCACTTCCACCTCTTGTTCCACGATGCAGGAACTCCAGGGGCAGTGCAGGGCCAGCTATAGAAGTGCTTTCTTAGGTCAAAAGGAAACTGTAGGACAAGGCTGCTGTGGGACATGGGGAAGAGCCTGAGCTGGACAGGAAGGAGGGGCAGGCCTGTGAGGCCAGGAGAGCTTGCAGATGTGGAAACAAAGCCAGAGCTTGGGCAATTGCAGAGTGTGGCACTTCTATTCCAGAAGAGGAGGCATGAGTTCAGTTTTGGTCTGAAATATGATCTCCCCTGTCACTAGGGATGTCTGGAATACTTTTGCAAGACAGTGTGTTGGCTCTGGGATGCTGCAGGAATCCAGAGGCACCAGAGCTCCCTCGAGGCCCGTGGCTCACATCGTGCCTGCCTTGCAGCACTGAAGTTTATCCCATCACATGTGCTGGGACCGAGCTGTGCCCATCTCCCTGAGCCCTCTTTCCCATGGCAGAAGCTCCCTCCTGGTCTTCACCTCTCTAAAGTGTGTGCTTTAACCCTGGTTTAAAACCCACTTTGCTGACATGCAGGGCCTCTCTGGAGTGAGATGGTAGCAAGGCCTGGCTATCCAAAAGCTCATGGAAGCACAAAGATCCAGTCCAACAACCCTTCAGAACTGGTACTGTTCAGCTGAAATCCAGGCTTTTCCCTTTTTTTGAAAGATTTAAAAGTGCTGAGGGAGCACCCATGGCAGAACAGTCATTATTCTTGTCTGGTTCTTGTCTGGTTTCATTTACCCATAATGCCAGAAAGCTCTGATGTGCTATATTGGGAGGAAAAATTTAACATTTTATGAGAGGGAGTTTAAAAATGTACACCTGGAAAGAGATCCTGAATGCAGACAGATCTGTGACTCCTGCCTGAATGGGCTGGAGCTCAATATGGAATTCAGTTCATGCCTGTATTGGCTCTGGCCCTACATCTTCCTATTAATTTCAAAGCTCCCTTTGAATTACCTGGGCAGTTTACTTCACATATAGGCCAAGTAACAACGTGGGCCAAAGAAGGACTGAAACCAGGCACTGTTACTGCACATGTACAATCAGGGTCAGAGGGAATGTTCAGGAAAACATACCAGAGCAGCAGTGCTTTTGGGATGCTCCAGAAAGCTTTGTCAGCAAGTTTTGCTCGCATTATCAGCAAGTCTTCTTCTTTCCTTGTGGAATCATCTAAGACACAACCTCCAGAAATGCTCTTGCTTGCATTATCAGCAAGTTTTCTTCTTGTGGAATCATCTAAGACACAACCTCCAGAAATGCAACAGCTCTGCCTTTTTTTAAAGGAAATAATTATCAGATCTTTTAACCTTGAGTACCTCCCCAAATTCCTTCACAGCACCTCTGCACTCCCTGCGCCCAGACTTTGTGGAAAGCTCCTGGCTCTTCCAGCTGAAGCTGGAGGAAAGCTCTATGCCATGGAATGCACAGCTGCTGCCTTCCTGATCAGCCGCTCAGTCATCGGTGACTTGGGTCTCATCACATCACGTTCATGCAGGAGACACCTGTGAAAGGAGAAGTGGGAGGGTGAGGAGTGGGTGATAAACGTGGGCTGTGCTGAGGGGCGAGCCCACGTCAGAGCACACCTCTGACTCCCCAGCAAAGAGATGCCAGCAGTGGCACTGACTGGAGTTGCAGCAGTTCACAGAAGCTTGGCAGTCCATAACACACATGGTCAACAGGCCATATCTGAAGACAGAACCATCTGAAAATCAACTACCCTTGAACATACAAGATCATCCATTCAGGCTGAAAGAGTGGACTTTTGGCATTGGAAGCTACTGTACATTTTATCCTGGTTAAATGTTGCCACATTTAACACAAATGCTTGCATATAATTTTAGCCTTAAATTTATTGGTTTGAATATATTCATTACTTCTTACTTTTTGAGTATATTCATTACTTCTTACTTTTAGCAACAGTGCTAAGTATTTATCAGAGGAAATACTCACCTGGCAAGGTTTTGTTTGGCCTTTGATTTAGAATTTAAAGCAGCATGAATCAATAACAGGCTGAAAACATCTCTCTGGAAAAAAAAATCAGCAAAATACAAACTAATAAGTAATGTCTTAGTTACCAAATTATTAAATTCACAGGAAGGAAACAAATCAACATTCAAAATAAATATTTAACCCTGCTAGTAAGTGTTTGCAAACAGGATTCAGCCACAAGCACAGTTCAGCTTTTCACTGTCTAACACTGAAGTGCTGTTGATGAGGTGAGTGCTTCATGGTGGCTACTGAAAGGGGATTAAGTCACATCAAAAAGTCTTTTCTGGATTTCCTTTACCTGAGCATCACTGCCTCCCACTTGGACGAGTTCATAACGGATTGGGTACAGCAGGTCTACAGCTTTGTCACAATTCCCATTTTCAAACTCCACCAAAGCCTGGCACAGTGGCAGCCCCAAACGAGGAGCCAGGGAAAGCTGGTGGTCTTCATGAGGTGCTCTGCAGAATGAAAAAGTGGTTAACTTCCACAAGCCAAAGCAAAAATAGCCACATTTCAATGCCAGTCTGCCCCTGCCTGCAGACAGGTTTTTGTTTTGGTTTGGTTTTTTTTACTGTACAAAGCCTGATGTTTCAGGTACTTGACATAGGTCATAACTTTTGGTGTGGTTATGCTACTTTCACCTCTTTGTCACTCAGCCAGCAATCAGTTTTTATCCTCCTGAATATACCCACAAAAGGCACAAGCCCAACCCCTCCTAGCTCTGCAGTAAACAGTTTGGGCTAGGACAGTAAGAAAACTGCAGTTTCTCTTCTGCTGACCCCACAAGAACATCCTACTGCTGGTCCTTTGTGTGGCCACATGTGGCCACCAGTCCTTGCACACAGCTCCCAGCCATGACCTTGCAAGCCAGCTCCTTCTCAAGTCAGCGTTACAAAACTTCCAGTTGCTTTCACTGGGCCAGCCTTCATTTTCCAGTAGGCAACACTGCCCTCTGTGTTTATCATTCCTTAAACAAACTGTGCCATCCTAGAAAGATAAAAGTGCCCAACAGATGTTCACTTGAAGCAGCCTGAGACAGCCAGTGATGAAAATGATGGAGCAGTTCCTCATTGTCACGTTTTGTCCAGCATTCCCATGGAAAGGAGCCTGTGACACCAGCCACCAGAGAGCGCCATGGGACACCCGACAAATTCCCAGCAGCTTTCCATGGCTAAGGCCAGGGAAAAATACCGGTGCAATGCCAGATGTTTGTGCCCAGGTTGTAACGCTGCTTTCTTAACACATACAGAACGCCTCTGGGGTACCATTTATATATTAAATATTTGTGATAGACGTAAGTTAATCCAATCATTAATACAGCCCCTTCAGTTCACAGCCTGCTTTCTCAAATAATTAAATGAAGTTTTATAATATTTCAAACTACAGCTAAAAATGTACACATGTATTAAGGCTGAAAGTAGGTGAAAGGAAGCACTGGGTGAAAGAATAAGTAGCATATATCAACACATGTTCATTAAAGCCTCTGTGGTGGACAGTTTTCTATACTTTATATAACCTGACATACTTATATAAATAATAGAATAAATAAAGATATTTACTGTTTTCTACTTTAGTTAAATGAGACATACTTAGACTTGCTTTGAAAGTTATTTGTTTTGCTAAGTATTCTTAAAAATTACAGTACTCCTCAAAACTACATATAGTCAGGAACAAATAGTGACAAGTTCAGGTTCTCCTTTCTTCCTTCTTTTTAAAGGCAAAGGAAGCAACAGATGCTTAAACAGAGGGAAAAAAGGGTGTAGTGGGGGGAAGAAATTGAATTTAAAGCATCTATATATCAACCCCTTAAAAAAAACCACAACAAGGCAATTCATAGTCATTTAATACCTAAGGGAACAAAAAACCTTCATTGTTTGGATGTAGTACTTAAATATTCAACTTTTTCAAATAACTTAATTTGAAAGTGAAATATTCTACATTATTACTTTAGTAGTACTTGAAACCTAATTTCCTGCAGATGGACTTAACAACACTTCAAAGAGAAGCCATTAGAATATCACTACCAACTAGTGTTCTGTTAATAACCTTTTAAACTAGAGCAGAAAAGATCCTCCACAGACAGCTGATGTATCCTGTAGAATGTTCTTATTAATACACTTTACTCCTTGTCTGTAACACAGCTTAGTGTGACCCCACTAAAAGGAAACAACAGCAACTGCTCAGGTGGTGTCCATGACCTCAAACACAAAACATTTCTGCTCATCAACATGAGGAACCCCTCTAGACATCAAGTCAGCAAATAAATAATAATATGGATCTAACTGGACGTTGCCTGCTTAACCCAGATGTGTCCCAGTGATATGCTAAGGCAGGGAGGAGCGTGCTGGAGCTTCAGCAAGCCAGAGACATCACTGAAGTTCACAGGGCTATTCACTGAGCCCAGTGCAGGAATTCCATTGCTTACCTGGCAAGTTCCTGCAGAGTTGTTAAAAGCTCCTCAGTAGTTTT